CCATATTCTTTAAGTTTTGATTTGGCCAGTTCCCTATTACTACAGAAACCAACCAGTCTACATTTGAGAATTCCTCTTTTCTGGCTTTTCTTTTTCATGATCTCAATCATCACCTTCTACCGTACTATACATTAAGATTTTTATATGGTATATGTATAGTTCATGACTTTTTCTACTTAAATTGCAGCTCTTAAGGAAATGAAATTTTACCTGCTTATTCACTGTATTTTCTTAAATATCAAGTGCAGTGTTGGACCAGACTGGACATGAACTTCAAAAGCATTATGGTAACTATAAGAAGACAGGCACAAAGGTCACATGTCCCATGATTCCATTTACATGATATGTCTAGAATAAGTATATAGTAGTGACATAAAGCAAATCGGTGGTTACCGGGAGCTGGATGCAAAGGGACCTTGGTGTCTAATGGGTATGAGGTTTTCTTTTGGGGTGAGGAAGATGTTCAGGACTAAGTAGAGATGATGGCTATGCAGCCCTGTAAAGGCACAGTGGGCCGCTGAAGAGCCCCCTTGAAAATGGCTGATTTTGTTTTATGAATTTTATCTCACTATAAAAACTAAAAAAAAAAAATAAGAATACATTTCTATATAGTGCCTTCACCTGTAGAGACACTTGATATTAATAATAAGCATTAATTTACTTCAGGAATAGACTTGATGCAATCTGTCTACAGTGCTAGAGATAGTACCTGTGGCAGTCATATAGCACTGGATAATTTAAAGGACACACAGGATCCAAGTCATCCCCCCAAAGTCCAAGCTGTGGCTGTTGACATTGGTTTTGTTTACTACAAACACTTTGACATGATCGTTTCCATCCACCCACAAAATCATCTACATACAATAAGGCACATGATACTGTAACAAGTTGTAAAAACAAGGGATATTTTCAACTTTTATATTTGGATATCATTTTAATTCAAATAAAGACCTACATTAGTGTAGCTAAATATTTCCCGTATCTCGGTTGTTGAACTGAGCCCTTAGTAATTAGGAGGCAACAATTTTCACCTATTACCTAACAAAGTGTCCTCGGTAATAAACATACACTGTCAAATGGAAATCAGAAGACAGTGGCACTGCAATTATTGCAATTGTTCATCCAACTGCAAACTGCATCCAACTATTGCAGACATAGATTGCTCTAAATGGAACCCTCTGAAAGTCTACTTTGACCTCTTCTACAAGTTTAGCTTTTATTATATATTTATTTTTCCTAATAACTACAGTGGTGGCTATTATCCAATTTTTATGATGCCACAAGGGTTACCACTTTTTACCCTGTCCATTGAGAAAATGTCCTCTTTCTTCTTCAGTCAAGGTTTGGCTGCCTTACAAGACAGCTACCTTCCAGCTTGAATTTCAGTGCTTTGTCCTTGAGCTACTATTGCAAACCATGCCAATTGCTAATCACGTCTGGAAAATGATGAATTTGTGTAGCATCAGGTAAGTAATCAAGGGTCTAATCTGGTGCTTGAAGCTTCTTGTTTAGCTCTGATGGTTATGTCCCCATGGACATATGATTGAAATAAGCCCTGTGAAATGCCTCTATATGGAAGAGGCATTTTCTTCTCTTTTAGAAAGTTCTGACATATACCAAAGCATGATGTTCTTTTCAGGTACTAAAATATTTTTATTTTCTTCCATAATGGAAATAATTTCCATTGACATCCAACAATAGGCTAGCAATTGTTTCTCAAAGGGGATGAACCTGCAGGGCACTCAGGTATACTTCTAATCCAAAATCCTCAGTTATCCCTGGTTGGCATTCATGGGATTTTGCCAAAGGCTCCTGTTTGTATGTGAGAAGTGGATGCTACCCATGTAGTTTGAATGTAAGAGTAATGTGATGCTAAAGGAATTAAGTGGGTGATCTTTGAAGCTGCAAGAGAACAGGAATAAAAACTGGTTGCCCTCGTGGTATTATAAAAATTGGACAAAAGCCACCACTCTAGTTATTATGAGAAATCAATAAAAGGCAAAACTTGCAGTACCATAGGGGTCAAAGTAGACTTTAAAAGGGTTCCATATAGATCAATCTATGTTTGTGATAGTTGGATGCAGGTGCAGTTGGATGAACAATTACAATAATTGCAATGTCATTCTGTCTTCTGATTTCCATTTGACAGTCTATGTCTATTACTGAGGACACTTTGTTAGGTAATAGGTGAAAATTGCTGCCTCCTAATCCACCATTTTTTTCCTCACAAGTTTGTAAATAGAGGCTACTGAAATTTCCAGGTGTTTCAGATGATGTCTAAACAAATCAAAGAGCATATTCAAATCTCATGCCTCTTGTTTTCATTTTGAGCTGGCCAAGATAAAGGCTATTTTTGACTGTTTATGAAATATCTCTAATAGCTCTTGTATTTGGGGGAACCAGTACTGAGTTCAGCTGTCACTCCCAGTGATCATATGATTAATACTTGAAATTTAGTTTTAACTTAATATTCAGGTTGAGATAGCAGCACCATGTAATAAATATAATAAGCAATTATATTTTCAGCTGAATCAAATCTAAATCTTCTCTCACCATGTTGTGGGCATCCGGAGAAAAATTCTAATATCCCAGAGAAAGCTCAACAAATTAGTACTGGAGTCCATCACACATGAATTCAAACTGGTTTTGATTTTCTTGCAAGATAGAAATTAAGAAGAAAGTGTTAGCTCAATCAATCACAGGATACTAATCTTCTTTATCGTGTTGCACAGTTTGAAGTGTTAATTCCATATTGGACACAGCTGATGCCTTTGGAGGTATGACTGTATTCAGTCCTTTGTTGTCTATAACGAAACCTCAAGATCTATGTTTTTATTTTTTTAACTGTACTTTTTCACAGGTTACTAAAAGAAGGGATTTGTGAATACTAACATAATTATATTTAACATATTTTTTTCCATTTAAGACACAAGTTTTTGATGGCCTCTTGAGATTTCTTTAAAACAAGTATGTGTTTTTGAGTAATTTTGATGATTTCACCAATAATATCCAGTTAAAAAATGACCACTCCCATATACAAATCAACCCCCATCATACCCATGTAGATATATTTGTTCAAGTAATATATATGTGTATGGATGATAAAAGAGTGAAAATCATTATAAAGTTAAAAACTTTTATTTTCAGCTATATTTTTACTTTTATGCCTTGTATAATTGCATCACCATAACCTCCTATTGTTTTTATCTTTCAATCAATAGGACTGTGTATGGTAGTATACTACCTCTCAGTGTCCAGAAATCCCAGTAAAAATCCACCACACTGAGGACATTTTACCCACAGTAACAAAATTTCAAGTCCCTTTCTCCACAATATTCTAAGAAATGCTAATTCTCTACTCAGAATAATAATCTGCTTTTAACCTCACACTGCATTAATTTTCATTGGTGAGAGGCCTCCCTGGTGGCACAAGTGATTAAGTCTCCACACTAGAAAGCTATCTACAGCCACTCCATCATGAGTTCGATCCCAGCCAGGGAGCTACCCATATAGTGCAGCAGACCTTTCCTATCTCACCCGCTGCTCCCCTCAGCAGTTTATTTCAGTAGATCCGCATGTTCTGCTCCCCATTCTGTCTCTGATGAATCATCTTACCCTCTACCACCCTCCACTGCACTTCTGGCCTATACCCCAGCTCTTATATGCATTTATAAATAAATATTTAAAAAATATTTTTCACTGGTGATAGAAGACCTGTAAAACAGATCTAAGTATGCTAGTAATCAAAAAAATATATATATATATGTGTTTGGACAAAGTTCTCCAAAACATTTGAGGACTAAGATATTTCCCCCCTTCTATCTTGCTATGTGATTTTAAAAAGCATAATAGAAAAATAATTAAAAATGAATGATGAGGAAAATCAATTAAAAAAATCCAGTGTAGGCATACTTGTACATACAACAGATTTTACAGAATGCCCAAAACTATTGGTGTTAAAAAGATTTAGCTATCCAAGAAATCATGACAATCCAAACCTCCATGTAAATAATAAGCTAATCATAAAATACATAAACCAAAATTGATAGAAGTGTGAGTAGAAATTGACAAAGGCATCAATATAAGAAATGAATATATTCTACTAAATAGTTCAATAAGAAGAAATTAATAAATTTAAAGCATTTTTAAAAGAAAGTTAACATGGGAATTGAAAGAGACATAGGCTCCAAACTAATAATTGAGTAATAGAAATTATTTTTCTGGTACTTAGAATTTTTCACCAAATGACCAAAAATGCAAGTGTCAACTTCAAGTGACAGGAAAATGGGAAATTATCAAAGGAAAAATCTTGAACAAAATGTAATCACGGGGTTGAGAAATTAACATCAGGACTTGAAATAATTCTTCAAATTTCTTTTGAATTTCAAAAACAGTGGCCAACATAAAGTAGCAGAGAATAAAAAGCAGCCATGTCTGATCCTTTTCCCATAGTTGTCTTGAGAAAATGGCCTTCCTGGTCATCACAGACATGGGGACGTGGCACTTTGTGAGGTAGAATGCACTGCTGACCAGTGGCCACTCAGCGTGTTTCAAATGCTTTTCATATAACTGGAGATTTGTCTAGGTTCTAAGCTCTATCTATCCACCTGGGGAAGCCCTGAATGCAACTTCTTGATTTCCTTTGTAGCTCTAAATTTTTATGATGGCGTTTTCTTTAATTCAATATGTATTTAGGAAAATTTGTTTTTGCAGTGATGAAATGGAAGAAGCACCACGAAGCTGAGGACACTCTTGTTAGGGTGTTTGGGTGTATTATTGGCAGAGTTTCCAGAGATAGACTCCCATGACCATGATGGTAGACTGGTCTGTCAGATGGCCCACACAATTCGGGGCCCTCGTGTGCCCTTCTGATATAGTGGTCTCTCTGTGAATGTGGGGAAACCTGCAATGTGATGGGGTGTGGCTCCTGCCATGAGTTGATTTGAATTAAACACAAGTGGATCCTGACAAGCAAACACTTAAAAGGGAAGAGGTCTTACCTGAAATCAGAGGTTCAAAGTATGAGAGGGTCTCTAGAAGAGGTGATGCATGGCCAGGCCCCATGGTGGATGACCTCTGCTTGCAGAGAATGCCTTCGGCCCAGAGTTGGCATCCTCGGTCCTGGTCCTGAAAACACAAGGTACTGCATTCTTTCAAAGTTACATGAGAATGAGAGTACTCCAAGTTCTAGGGAGATCATTGTCAGGTAAACACTGTAATTTCAATCTCTGAGTCCTAGGAAGAGCACCCAGAAAATCTATAACTGGACTTCTGTCCCCCCAAAGCTATGGAATGTTTTCTGTTTAAGACACCAAATTTTAAGTCATAGAGAATGACTGTTTAAGCTCTTAGTGATGAAAAGTCATAGTATTTCATTTATTAGCTCTAAACCAGAAGGCTATATGCATATATATGAATATTATATATATCATATATAAGTTATTCTGAATGTAAGAATATCATGACCAATATGAAATTATAGCATTCCACTTATTTTCATAAATATGTATTAAAATAAGATATATAGATTGGAATAAATAAAATTAATTCTATTAAAAATTACTAGATAGAATTTATAAAATTGTTGAGAAATATTTTAAATTATATAACATATAGTCTACATGTAGTAAAGAAAATTAAAACAACAGGATTTTACTAAAAAACTAATCAATGATTGAATGGTTACCTGGATAGAGAGTAAGTGAACATCTAATAATGAATGAAGTAGTAGAGGTTGTTCATTAGTTGGATCAGATAAGAAACATCCCTGTCCAGGCTCTAAGTGACAGCTTCGAAGAACTAGAATCAAGATAGACAGAGGCTCTGCCTTTGGGTATCAAGAGTCCAGAAGATAGATGAGATTCAATTAGGGCCAGATAATAGAGGACTAATCAGACACTGCAAATTTCAGATTTTATTCTAATATAAAAAGATCCCATCTTGAAGGAGTCTCATTTTCCTGCCTTTTTTAAAATTTATTATTTAAATATTTATTGTTATATTATTTTTTAATTTTTCACATCATCGTTAATTTTTAAACAATATTTGCTTCCTCCCACCCTCAGGTGGAGTCCCCATAGAGTTTCCTTCCCCAAGGCACCAGTGCACCATCACCTCAGTCCCCTGTTCCTCCCTCCCTCCCTCTGGTCCTCTCCCTCCTTCTCCCCTGCAGGATGTCTCTGGTTTATAATTGTCTGTTTTTGCTTTGTTGTGTTTTGTACTGTTATTATTTTTCACACTGATGTCTTATTTTGTTCCCCTATATCCCTGCTATAAGTAAAACCATCCAATATTTTAATTTTTCCTTCTGGCTTATTCCTTCTGAGCATAATTTCTTCTAGTTCCATCCATGTTGCTGCAAATGGCATGAGTTTATCTTTTTTGATTGCTGAAAAATATTCCATTGTGTATATATGCCATATCTTCTTGATCCACACATCTGTTTTGGGGCATTTGGGTTATTTCCAGGTTTTACCTATTGTAAATAGTGCTGCAAAAAACATAGGTGTATAGGTGTTCTTTTGAACCAATGTTTTTGTGTCCTTTGAGTAGATCCCTAGTAGTAGGATTGCCAGGTGTATGGTAGCTCCATTTTTAGTAGACTGAGGAACCTCCAGACAGCTTCCTGCCTTTTTATTAGCTCCTGTGCTCCTTCAAGCTTATTTTATCCAGCCTGTGCTAACCAGGGGGTACCAGCATTCTGGTTTCTCCATTGGGGATGGACTGCAGGAGGTGTAATAGTGGCTTCTGGAGCAGCCATGAGGAAGCATTATCAGAAGTACAGAGAAAGTAGATTATGTGAATAAGGACTTGCAGTAGTGAAGTGGGTGAGGCAGCATTCAATTTTAGATTTATTTGGAGGTTAAGTTTGACAGAACTTGGTAATGAATAATAGAGAGGAATTACGAATGATTCCTGAGTTTCTGGCTAGAGTGACTAATAGACAAGTGTCCCTCATTTGCAGTCCTGATGAAGAAGTGAGCGTGTAGAAGAAACCACCAATAGTTCTGTTCTGGCCATAAACTAATGATGCTGATTAGACAGACAATTAGGATGCCAAATAGGTACAGGGAGGTAAAATCTATTTAGAAGAAAATCCCAAACTGGAGAAATAGAATTGTGGGTGATGTTTAAACCCAGTGGTTTAAGAAAAATCATTTTTCTGGGTACACAAAATGAATTTTAGGTAATGCAGACTTGACATAGGTAACTATGGCTCAAAAGACAGAGCATGAAATTAGACAAATGTATTCTAACTTTTCAAGATGTACATCAAATTAACATTTTAATAATATTTAATAACCAATAATCTTGGTTACTTTTAATATAAGAGTTTGAATGACTAATTTAAAATAAGTATAGTACAAAAACAAAAATAACGATGCAAAAGAATTAAGTAGGCATAAAACAACACCCATGTCTGATAAACCTAAGCAAAGGTACTCTATCCTATTAGCCAAGGAAATACTAAATAAAACCACATTATGATGTGACCTCATAACAGCCAACAAAATAAGGACACAATTGCAGGTGTTGGATTGGTTGTAGAGCATAATAGTCTCCTCTATATCATTGATGGGAATGTGCATTATTAAGATCATTTTGTGAAATAGCCTGGCAATTTCCAATAAGTAAAACATATCTACCATAGAGCTAAAAATAAAAAAAAATCCCTCTTCTAGGTATACATTCAAAAAATGTTGCATATTTTCAATAAAAGACAGGAGGAATGCTTATAACAGAGCTACCTATTTGGGCCCCCAACTGGAATTATACAAATGACTTTCAGTTCAATGGATAAATGATTGTAGCACATTCACACAATTTTCTACCATGTAGCAATGGTAACAAATAACTATAATTACACTCAACAATAATGAATGAATCTCTTAAACATATGTTAAACAAAAGGCAGTCTGGCTAAAGAGTAAATAATGTATGATCCCATTTATATTAAAAATTTTAAAATGAGCAAACTAATTCATACTGTAAGAAATTTAGATAGTGTCACCCAAAAGGGCGGAAACCTTGGAAAGATAGGGATGAGTTTCTGAATGTTGGTAGTGTTCGATTTTGAATATTTATTAAGCTTTGTACATGTACAATGTGTGTACTTTTCCCTTGTTCAATTATTTGTAGTCATTGTGAACCAAAAAAATGGGGTGTGCTTCCCACTTGTCAATCTATGGCTACGTTACATATTTATGTATTTCTGCAATTATGATACACTTTTATAAAGTGAATAGTTACATCTTAGTGAGTGCATCAAGATAATTAAAGAAAAAATGTCTAATAACTTCTGTAAAATTACAATTTAAAAGTTCATATTGATATTTATCATTGTATACAGTATGTTTAAACACAGGTGAAGACTACAATAAACTTCAAAATAACCAAGCACATTTTCTTATTAATTTTAATTTATTACTTATGATTGTTTAAAAATTGACCATGAAGTATTTAGAAAAATAAGACTAATTCTTAGGCTCTTCAGCTGGATATAAAATATTTACTATATGTATTCCTGGTTCTAAAACCTCTATACTTAGACAAAACTGTATCAAGAGATTTTACTAGAAGATTCATGTCTCTAGAAAAACCTGAAAACATAGTAAATCAGAAAGGAGATATGTATTTCTCCCTGAGGGTCAAAAGTTTTGCTGCTGATTTTGTGCCCATAAACGTAAAAAAAGGAAAGACAATTAAAGAAGAAGATGAACAGTTTTGAATATAAATATGAATTGTTGCTATTTTCTTGTCTGCATTCCCTCTACCTTTAACCCATCCCATTTATAAGGGAATTCCCTGATCCTTTGACTATCTTCCCTGTGTCATACACTAAAAGTTGACTCACAATTGTGTCTACATAAGCGATCTTTATGAAAATAAAGAAACGCATGTAGCCTTTACTAGAGAGTAATTGGTCATGTAATAATTTCTGCTCAGTTAAAATAATCCCAATGTTCAACAACAGAGATTATTGACCTTCTTGTATATGAAGCCATTTTTATACCTAATATCAGATTTTCTCTTTACTTTTAAATACGTTATATTTTGATTTTCCCAAATAATATTAGTGGTAAGCTTAAGAAGAGAAAATATTTCTCATTTATTATGGCATATTATAGTTGCAACATATGGTTTTCTTAGAATACTTCTTAATATTGATCAAGGAAAGAATGCAATGCATGTGCTGTTACTTAATTGTATAAGTTGAATTAAATTAAAAATTCCTGAACAAATGTTTTGATAGGATATATATTTCTAAATTTTTCAACTCAGTATTAACTTTTTTAAAAATAGACATTTTAGAAGAGTATCAGGTTCTAACAACACTAAGCAGTATCTACAGAGGCTTCTCACCTACTTGCCACCCCTGACAAATAAAAACCCTCCCCCATCAACCTGGAGATGGCAGTGCCTTAGTTAAACTGATTACTCACATTAACACACCTTATTATGTAAATTCCACAGTTTTCCCTAGGGTTGGTGTTTTACATTCCACATGTTTGGACAAAGGTATAGTGACGTGTTCACTGTTGAAATAACATACATAATATTTGTATTGCCCTAAAAACCCTCTCCATACTCTATCTGTTCATCCTTTCCTTAGCCCATCCCCAACCCTTGAGATCACTGATCTTCTTGCTGTAGCCACAGTCTAGCCTTTCCCAGAATGCCCTACAGTTGGAACCATACAGAATGCAGCTTCTCAGACTGGCTTCTTTTACTTAGTAACATGCACTTCAGAGTCCCCCATTTATTTCCATGGCTTACTACTTCATTTCCCTTCAGTGTTGAATAATATTCCATTGTCTGGATGCACCACAGTTTATTCATCTATTCACTCACTGAGGTACCTTTTGATTTCTTTCCAAATTTTGACAATTTGGAATACAGATGTCATAAATGTTTATGTTCATGTAGGTTTTTATATGGACAAAAGTGTTCATTTCTTTTGCATAAATACCAGAGTGAGTGTGATTGTTGGATTGTCAGGTATTACTTGTATTTTCTTTATAGGTAGCAAATGCATCAATGATTTCACAAAAGCAATTCATCAAAAAAATCAGTCTTTGATATAACATTATTGAAAGTGTTACACAAAAAAGTATACTTAATAGAAT